CCCCAAAAATTATAAAACTTCATCACTTCAACCACAAATCAAGAAATAATCCATAAACTTGCATCTCATACTACCACTAATCATGATTTAAGCATCAATTAAGGGAGGAGGGTGGTTCTTCACAACTCACCTTAGAAACAAGAGAGAGGGGCAATAGGTTTTCTTAGCTTTCCAAATAACTCCACAAATCAACTCACAAATACTAAGTGAAGAGGTTTTATGGAGAGATTGCAAGATTAAATGGTTAGATTGTTGAACTTGAGCAAGATTGAAGCCAAAAATTGAAGAGTTTTCTTTCTTTTCTGGCCTTGAAGAAGTCGGCCAAGAGGAAGACAAAAATGAGGAATTTTGGTGAATTTTTAGTTATTTAAGTCAATTGGTAAGACATGGAATAGTAGTCAAATGGTCCACCCAATAGCCAAGTGACACTTGTCACTTAATTTAATGCTTGCCTTGTGGCGACCCCACTTCCCCCTAAGGCGAACCGAAGGGTTGGCGGGCCATCTGCCCAGCTCTCGCCAGGACTCACGCAAGCAAACTAACCTAAAATCTTCCGACGATAAACTTAACTATTACAATAAGGATTCTTCCGAAATAAGTCGATTTACAAACCACATTAACTTCAGAGATAACAGTATAAAACTTAGCCAATCGACAGTTCCTAAACACTTCCAGCGACGCTCGCGATAGCTAATGATATACTATACTAATACAAACATACAAGTTGAGTACTAGAAATAGAGATTACACTTTTCCAGCTTCAAGTGGCAATCCAAAATAAAAAGTACATTATCCGAATCAAACACAATACAGCCCACAACATAAGTCATAGTATTCGGTACATTCAAGAAGGGAAACATAAGCAAGTATTCCAGCTTTCAACTTCCAGAACCTGTTAAGGAAAACAATAAACGTGGGGTGAGCTAAAGCTCAGTGGTGCCCCAAAACATGCACTCACATAAATCAAACAACAGATAACAATTTAAACAAATTTAATCAATTAAGAAAGCGTATAACAGCACAAGGTAGGATACAGGGGCTCTCGGGAGCCATTCTCCTCGCTTGATCAGATACCCTCGTAGTTGACCCTCCGTCAACTTTCACTACCTATAGTCCATGTAGATCCACTTATTTTAATCCTAACCCGTCACCGTTCATACCTCCGCTTCGGGCCCGAACTTCGTCTACCGACGCAGTATACTCGAGATATACCCGTAATAGAATTAGTCGAGAGATTCACGAATCGACGTTTTTGTAGTTGATTCAAGTGTCGAGGGATTCACCCAACGACGTAACTACTTTTAGATTCAAGGATTATTGTAGTTGATTCAAGTGTCGAGGGATTCACCCAACGACGTAACTACATTTAGATCCAAGGATTTTTGTAGTTGATTCAAGTGCCGAGGGATTCACCCAACGACGTAACTACTCTTAGATTAAGGATTCACGGGAAAAATGATTCACGCAAGTAACCACTCGAACGGCTAGTGCGATAAAGTACACACTGCTCACTTCGATGGATCAAAAACTCATTTTACAATTCATCACATATCGAGTCAAGAAAGCACTTAATTCAAGTAGGAAAAGAACAGGCAGGGACACTCACCAAGAGTGAAGTTCAGATATCAGGTTGGGAATCGAATTCCGCGTCCTCGCGATATCCTAAAACCAAATTTTGAAACTATAAGTTTCTATTCAGTTTTTAAACTTATTCGTATAAGAATTTATTTAATATAATACTAGTTTACTTTCTCAAGAGATTTCAAAAATCTATTTAGATTGAAGCTTGACAAAAGTCATAGAAATGTTCTTTATTTTCCTTAGAAGAGGGTAACTAGTGTTATTTACTAGCAACAAGTCGACAAACTTCTCAAAATCATGGTTAGAAAGTTACTTTGAACATTTCTCTAAAGTTACGGCTTTTGCAAAATTATCCTTAAAAACTATTTTTCCTAAAATAGGGTTTCTTGCCGAGCAAGTCTCCCAAGCTTTTCACTAGGATTAGTAGAACTAGTATTTTAAAACTTTTCCTATAGTTAACTATACAAGTGCAAGGCTTATAGGAAGGAAAAGAATTGAAATAAGATTTGTAGTTTCCAAAAGTTATAGAACTTATGTACCATAGCTATCGGAGCTGGTTTGAGCTGAAGGAAATTATTAAATTGGAAAGTTTTAGGCAAAACGCTAGATATAGAGTTTTATAATATAATCCTAATTGGAAAATATTCTTGGTTAATTTTGAACGCGGCTACTCGAGTTCGCAAGGTCTATACAATTTCCCCGCTCCGATTCCGTTTCGAAATCACAATATAGATCAAAATATAGCAAAAATCACATAGCACGTTACTAGGGCTTCGTCAATCATTAGCCCTAGCTTTCAACAATTGCATTCTCGAATAAAATAAAATAGTCAACCAAGGCTTCATCAATCATTAGCACTTGGTTTCAGCAACCCAATATAAGCAAATAAAATAAAAGTGAAGTCCCAAGACATTCTAGCAATTATTTTCTGTCATCCAGTAACACTTTATAAAAAGAAATCATTTCAATGGCTAAGGGTTCATCAATCATTAGCCCTAGGCACTCACCCAGTAATTCTTATGACAACCAAGCTTAACATATCAAATATTTAAATCTGCTAACAGTTATTTAGAACCAAAGATCACATTTGCAGCAGCCTCCTATTCAAGTATTTGATCCAAAGTCAAGAAATACTATCCACAATATCACATTGTCACCCCCAAATTCCAAGGCATGACCATCTCAAGGTATTATAAAGCAAATTCAAAGGTAGTACAATTTTTCCACAGCTCCAAGATATATAAAGTAATCCATACGTACTACTTTATCAATCATGACCAAGGCTGGAAAAATTTCCAGCTTATCTCCATAACTGCACTTTACTTATTTCGAAAACGAAGTCCCAAGATATCAAATGGTTTATTGCCAAACAGATTCCACAGGCTACTTGTGCATTTAATCATGCATTTCGAGTTCCTAACAACTTAGGGAAATAAATTCTAAAGTCAAGCTGAAGATTCTGGTTCATAATCAAATTCGAGCAGTAGAGTTAAACCTCCCAAAATTTTCAAAAGTCTGTTTAGTAAACCACGGATGAATCATGCATGAAGGAAATTTCTGTTTTTACTTCATTTACTCGGGTGAGGTAGGCTTTTAAACTCTCACATTCTCATGCAATGACTTAGCTAAACAATGCACAATTTCCATTCAGGAGTTGAAACTAAACCACCGTTATAATCTTCAAAATTTCCAGGTTCAAGTTAACGGTAATTCACAAAGGAATTCCAGCAATAGCAGTGATTTCAAAACAGAATTTTTCTTTGGTTAAAACAGGATTTTTGGTACTCTATTAGTTCTTGAAAACATAGCTAGCTAGTACAGATTTTCAAAACAAATCCAGGTTCATGCTATAACTGTATTCATCAAACACAAATCCAGAATTTATTTCTACTAAGTTCGGATGATGGTTCCTGAAATAATTTTCTGTTTTCATTTTTATTTTCCTGGATAGCCAAGCTACAAAAACCTTATGCAAACTTCAATTAACACGTTGTTAACTAGTTAATCATATACATTAACTCATAAAAGCCCCATAATCATAGATTGAGAACTAAAATTCAATTCCAGGTCTCGGAAATTTCAGGTCATACAAATTCCCAATTCACTTAAACCAGAATTTTTTTTTAGGTTCTTTAATTCATCAATTTACTTCGTAGAATTAACATGCAGGGTCTTAGACCTCATGAACATTGAGATTCACACAGCTAATTACTCTTGTGTGATCACATTATCACAGAAAGACAAAATTATAGATGCACTTCCAAGTCATTTCCACGGCAAAAATCATTTTTCCTCAAAACAGAATTTCTTTCTTCCTAAATTCATTATCCGAGGATATAGCATGGACTTGCAAAGTAGTAAACAGATTCACTGGTCAGTAATTAGATCATTAATTCCCTGCACAAGCTCGGTTTAAGACAGTTTAGCGGATTAGAGTTGCATTATCAAATTCAGCCCACGATCATTCTGTTTTCCTTAAACCAGAAATTTCCCAAATTTTGTTTCATCATCTAATCGCACCTAGCCAACATGCAGATCGATAACTAACTTCATCCCCTATTAGATAAACAAAACTATAAGTTCCAGAACAACAAACTGGAGCCAAGTGAAGCTGCAATGCCCAAATCAATCCTCGGCAGGGACATCTAACCGAAACAGAAAATTTTTCTAATATCTTAAGTTCATCATCCGAACACTTAGATTGACATGCATGACCTTGAGCATCATGTTTAGTGTTAAGTAACCGTATATATGAGCTCAGATTACCTCAAAGAAATAAAATTAAAGTTGCATTTCTAATTCAGTTACTCGGCAGTCCGAAATCAAGATTTCCAGAATTTTAATCAATCATCCTTGGTGGTCAGAATGTGGCCAGATTTTAAGTCCATTAAATCTTTTCTAACTTATCCTTGTTCACTCGACAAATGCAAGGCTTAAACAACCTTTAGTCAGTTTAAATGGAGCTCAGGAATCACCTCACAGCAAGCTAAGTTCTCGGACAGAATGTTTGAAAGGTTCTCCTTCCTCACGGCCCTCACGCACGAAGCAGGTTCTGGTTGTAGCTGGTGATTGTTGGTCGAGGATGGTGATGGCCAGCAACTCCTACAACTTCCACTAGCTCTCCCCTTCCTCTCCTCTAGCTCACGAACAGGATTGGTAGATGTGTGGCTCGATTTCTTCCTCTCTACTCTGGCGATGATAACAAGGAAATGGTGGGATGTTATCTGTTGTAGGGAGTGTGCAGAGGGTATGGGGTGAGATTGTGAAGTGGTGCTGCGGATTTGAGGGAGGTTGAGTGTCGACAGAGGTGGTGTGCTGCAGTGGTGAAATGTGTGATTGGCCGGCTGAGGTGGTGGAGCTGCGGTTGGCCGAGCTGGGTGGCTTGTGATCATGATGTCCGGGAGTTGTTTGGGTTGCAGAAATTGGTTATGGCCGTGGGTGGTGTTGTGAGGCTGTGAGGGTATTGTAGACATTTCACTAATTCTCCAATTAGCCACTCAAGTCCTTGGTCCTAATTAAGCTCCAAAAATTGTCCCCAAATTGCTTTGAACGTCTAATTAAAATGCTAATCTTGCAAGACTTTGATTATCACCAATTTAGGTCCTCAATATGGTTAGGGTGCTTGTATTATCTTGATCTGGAATTAATTGATTACGAATTAGTATTAAGCTTTCTTTAACATTCTTGTTTGGTTAATTAACCTATTAAAATCAAGTTTGACCAATATATAAAAATCCAACATTTATGTTAACACGAAAGGTTTAGTCTAGCTCCAAAAATCTTAATTTAGTTTAGCGGAACCAAGGAATTCATAACTCAGAAAAATTATATAAATTTCCACATAAGCGTGTTTTACGTACTTAATTGCAAACAAGTAAAAGTAGTACTAGGAATTATTAACGAATAAAAGAGGTGTGAAAGACATACGTAATATTATTTATATAAGCATTTTCAGGGTTCTCACATCCTCCCCTCCTTACAGAGAATTTTGTCCTCAAAATTCACACATTCTGAATAAATAAATCAGGATACTTTTTCTGCATTTCTTCTTCTAACTCCCAAGTTGCTTCTTCGAGTCCATGATTTTTCCACAAAATCTTCACCAGGGGAATTTTCTTATTTCTCAGCTCCTTCATTTCTCTTTCCAGAACCCTGACCGGTCCTTCTTCATAAGTTAACTTCTCATCCACCTCAATTCCTTCTAGTGGCAACACGTGACTTGGATCGGAATAATATTTCCTAAGCATGGAAACGTGGAATATATCATGAATCTTGGCCATGCTTGCAGGCAACTTCAATTGATACGCTACCAGCCTGACTTTCTTCAAAATTTCAAAAGGTCCAATGTACCTTGGCTTCAGCTTCTTACCTTTCTTAGACACTACCCCACCCTTTAAGGGTTTAACTCTGAGGAAAACCTTGTCACCTACTTCAAATTCCAAATCCTTCCTCCTTGTGTCGGCGTAGCTCTTTTGTCTATTCTGAGCAACTTGAAGCCGTTCTCTGATCAATTTTACTTTTTCCTGGGCTTCTTCTATCCAAGGTATAGCTGTGGGGTCTACGACCTTCTTTTCTCCAACTTCATCCCAATGAATCGGAGATCGACACCTTCTTCCATACAAAGCCTCATAAGGTGCCATCTGGATTGAAGCCTGATAGCTATTATTATAAGCAAATTCCACTAAGGTCATATATTGGCTCCACTTACCTCCAAAATCCAGTATACACGACCTCAGTAGATCCTCCAAAGTCTGAATTGTCCTTTCCGACTGCCCGTCGGTTTGGGGATGGTACGTAGTACTAAACTTCAACTTGGTCCCCAAAGAATCCTGAAATTTCTGCCAGAAGCGCGAGACAAACCTTGGGTCTCGATCAGACACGATACTCACTGGAATACCATGTAACCTTAGGATCTCTTCTGTGTACAACTTGACCAATTTTTCCAATGAGAAACTCATGCTTACAGGTAAGAAGTGTGCAGACTTGGTGAGTCGATCGACTATGACCCAAATTGCATCAAAACCTTTTTGACTTTTAGGTAAGCCCGTTACAAAATCCATTGTTATGTGTTCCCATTTCCATTCAGGGATTTCTAACGGCTGCAATAAACCAGAGGGTTTTTGATGTTCAGCTTTTACTTGTTGGCAGATTAAGCATTTTTGTACAAATGCGGCCACGTCCTTTTTCAAACCTTCCCACCAGTATAATTCCTTTACATCATGATACATCTTGGTCACACCTGGGTGTATGGTATACTTTGATCGATGTGATTCTTCCAAAATTTCTTTTCTTAACTCTTCGTCTGACGGAACCACAATTCGATCTTGAAACCTCAATACCCCTTCAGATCCTAACTTGAAGTCTAGGGTTTCCCCTTTTTGCACTTTCTCCAAATTCTTTCGAATCATAGGGTCTGTTTTCTGGGCTTCCTTAATCCGCTCTAGTAACGGTGACTTCAATGATAGGTTCCCTAACAAAACTTTCAAATTCTCCAAGCGAGGGTTCCAACCACTTATTTCTTCTAACATATCCCACTCTTTTACCATTAACCCTGCTACTTGGGCCTTCCTACTAAGAGCGTCAGCCACCACATTGGCTTTTCCTGGGTGGTAATTAATCGAGCAGTCATAATCTTCCAGAAATTCTACCCATCGCCTTTGTCTCAAATTCAGCTCCTTTTGGGAGAACAAGTACTTGAGGCTCTTATGATCCGTAAAAACCTCAAAAGTCACGCCGTACAAGTAGTGTCTCCATTTCTTCAAGGCGAAAATTACTGCGGCTAGTTCTAGATCATGAGTTGGGTAGTTTTGCTCGTGGGGTTTCAATTTCCTAGAAGCGTAAGCAACTACCTTACCCATTTGCATTAAAACGCATCCCAGACCTTCTCTGGAAGCATCGGAATATACAGTATAACCTTCACCTCCATCAGGTAGAACCAAAACGGGAGCGGATGTTAACCGCTTCTTTAGTTCCTGAAAACTTGACTCGCACTTCGGGGTCCAGACAAACTTAGCCCATTTCTTGGTTAGCTCAGTCATAGGTCCTGCAATTTTCGACAAATCCTGGATAAATCGCCTATAATAACCTGCTAAACCCAAGAAACTTCTAACTTCAGTTGGAGTTTCTGGTTGTTTCCAATTCATAACGGCTTCCACTTTTGCCGGGTCCACGGCAATACCATCCTCAGAAACTCTGTGACCTAGAAAAGATATCTCAGTCAACCAAAACTCGCACTTGCTGAATTTGGCATATAGTTTATGCTCTCTTAATGTCTGCAAAACCACCTCTAGGTGCTTAGCATGTTCCTCACGAGTCTTAGAGTAGATCAAGATATCATCTATGAAAACCACTACAAACTGGTCCAGGTACTTCTTAAAAATTCTCTGCATCAAGTCCATGAAAGCAGCTGGTGCATTGGTCAATCCAAAAGGCATGACTGCAAACTCAAAATGTCCATATCTTGTACTAAAAGCAGTCTTGGGTATATCTTCCTTCCTGATCTTCAACTGATAATACCCTTGCCTCAAATCCAGCTTAGAAAAGACCACTGACCCTTGCAGTTGGTCAAACAAGCTATCAATCAACGGTAGAGGGTATTTATTCTTAATTGTAGCCTCATTTAACCCTCGGTAATCAATACACAGCCTCAAGCTTCCATCTTTTTTCTTTACAAATAGGACGGGTGCTCCCCAAGGTGAGTCACTCTCCTTCACAAAACCTTTCTCCAACAGATCTTGCAGTTGAATTTTCAATTCTTTTAGCTCGGCAGGAGCCATTCGATACGGGGTCTTAGAAATCGGAGCCGTTCCAGGTACCAAGTCAATCTTAAATTCCACCTCCCTTTCCGGCGGTAGAGTCTTAAGCTCTTCAGGGAACACATCCGAAAACTCTCGTACCACAGGTACATCCTCCAGCTTCACTTGATCGCTGGGAGCGTTTATCAAGAAAGCTAAGAAACCTTGCGCTCCTTTAGACAACATTTTCCTTGCTCTAATTCCTGAGATCATAGAAGAAGATGCTAACCTACCCTTAACATCTAACCTCAGGGTTGCTTCACCAGGTATACAAAATTCCACTACTTTTGCTCGACAGTCAAGTTTAGCATGATAATGACCTAGAAAATCCATTCCTATTATAACATCGTAACCTTTTATGTCTAGGCTAATCAGGTCCACTAGCATTTTACGCTCTCCAATCCAGAATTCACAATTCCTATAAGCCAAGCTAGTGATTACATTCTTATTACCCATGGGTGTCCTAACTTCAAGGTCAAAGGGCAATCTAACAGGTTGCACATCTAATCCAGACATAAAGGATGGCTTAACGAAAGAATGGGTTGCCCCAGGGTCAATCAATACTTTAGCTAATCGGTGAAAGATCGGGAGTGTACCTTCCACCACTTCCGAGGCATTAGGTACAGGTTGATCTCCTAAAGCATACACTCTGGCAGGAACTGTCGGCCGGCTCCCTCCTGAAGTGTTTGGTCTAGCATTCGAAGTAGTCCCTTCCTGCATTTTTGAGCACCCAGAAATTTGGTGCTCGCTGCTTCCGCATTTCAGGCACTTTCCTTGCTTCTTCCAGCAGCTATCCATAGTATGGCCAGGTTTCTTACAGTATGCACAAGTCATTTGGGGAATTATGGCTCGGCCTCCTTGTGAGGTATTTCTAGGTTGTCCTCTTCCAATCGGTCCCCCTCTAAATCCATTGTTTCTTCCCCCTGCATTCCTTGCCCCGGTTCCCCTTGCTAGTGCACCTCATGGTGCTCCGGGACTAGTCATTCCGCCAGTTCCCCGGCCCACTTTAGCCGGTGGAGTATTTCCATACGTCGGCTCTCGACTACTGCTGGGGTTAAATCTTTTCTTAGCTTGAAAGGATTTCACTTGAGCTCTAGCTAGTTCAACTCTCTGAGCTCTTTCGACAGCATCTGCGAAAGTATCTATCCTCACCGCGGCTAAACTTTCCTGTAGTTCTACATTCAAACCCTGCACAAACCTCTGAACACGCCTCTGCTCGGTGGCTATCAACTCAGGTGCAAAGCGGGATAGCTTTGTGAACTGGATTTCATACTCGGCGACACTCATCGCCCCTTGCTTGCATCGAATGAAATCGTCCTCTCTCTTCTCTTGAATGAGAGGCGGCAGGAATTTGGCATTGAACTCCCTTGTGAAGTTCATCCAAGTCCGTGGTGTATGGTTAGTCTCCCAATGGACCCTCATTAGGTTCCACCAGGAGCGAGCAGCTCCCTCAAACTGGAAGGTGGCAAAAGTCACCTTTCGCTCCTCCGTATAGTTTAGGGCGGCGAAGATCTCAGTGATCCTCTCCCACCAGCCTTCGGCCACTTCCGGCTCAGGTCCTCCATGGAATTTGGGAGGTCCAAACTTCAGGAACCTTTCCAATGCCCGATCATCGGAATCGACTGGGCCTCCCTGATGGCGCCCTGGTCCAGCAGCTTGGTGTT